CGGGGGTCAGGGGCCGCCATCTTGGCGGGGGGCGCCTCCGGCGGGGCTGGGGGTTTGCCCGGCCGGGCTCTCCCTGCTCGCCCTCGGGGGGAACCGAGCGCCCAGGCCTCGTCTTGCCGGGGAAGGCGGCCGCGGGAGCTTGCGTGGGGCTTTCAGTAAGGCTGCCGGAGATCCAGAGCCCAGGCGGGCCCCCCAAGCCAGGCCCGTAGGCAGCCTTCGCAGAGAAGCCCCCTCAGCCCCCCTGGAGTACAAACTCTTCCCGAGGTTGGATGTTAAAGCGCTTTGCAAGTCGCAACACATTCATCGCCTCAGATTTCCATCGTATGCCTGATGGGAATGCAGCGAAGGGAGAGGAGTTGACCCAGCCACAGTCAAAGAAGGAAGCGGTGTTGGGCCATGGAGAGGAGCTGGTTTTCCAGGCTCTGGCCTTGCTCTCTGCCGTTGTCCTCGGACATGGAATGGCCAGGAGAGAGTGGGGCTCCCTCACATTACCCTCAACCAAGGTGGCATGTCTCCAGCCTGCAGGACGGACCCATGCCTTCTGCTGCTGCATCACGTCAGGGTGCACTGTTGGCTGGTGAAGGAGTCTGGAAAGAGCCTTTGGCACCTAAAGGCTTCTTTCTCATGTGTTGCTTTAAAGTATCATCTAATTCTCTAGGTTGAAAGGGACCATCTAGTCCAACCATCAACTTAACTCTCATAAAATAAATCAACCATCACTAAACCATGTCTCTAAGCACTATGTCAACCCATCTTTTAAATACCTCCAGGGATGGGGCCTCAACCACTTCCCTGGGCAGCCCATTCCAATGCTTCATAACCTTTTCTGTGTAAAAATGTTTCCTAACATCCAACCTGAACCTCCCCTGGCACACCTGGAGGCCATTTCCTCTTGTCCTATCACCTGTGACTTGAGAGAAGAGACCGACCCACACCTCTCTACACCCTCCTTTCAGGTGGTTGTAGAGAGCAATAAATAAGGTCTCCCCATGGACAGAAGGGTGTTAACAGCTAGCAAATGGTTTGATTCAATGAGGAAAGCCAGACAAAGCGAAAGAAAAAGAAGGGTGGTTTGAAGTAATGATTCCTGGAATGGGGAGATAAAACAGCATTAAGCAAATGATGTTTTTTTCTGATTTAGTAAGTATTCCACAGTCTGAGTTAATATGTCATGTAGAGAACATAACTACAAGTTGAAAAGTGACTGAATCCAAAAGAGGAAAGATTGCTTCTGTTCCCTTTTTTTGCCCCTTGACTGAGAAACTGCAATTTCTTCTCTAAAGAATATGCCCTTGGCAGCCATCTATGTCTTCTAAATCATCCTTCAGCACAGTGGCCCCTCTTTAGTCAGCAACCACAAAAGGAAAAACCTGTTAGCTTGAAGGCTAGAAATGCCACCTCTCAGTGCACAGTGGAGGAAAAGGAGTTAACTTTTTCCCCCACTGTCTTTTCTAATCTGCAGAACCTCCCTGGGGAGTACAGGTAGAGTGGTACCCTAAGACCAGTTTCTATTTTTTCAGTTAAACAGGAAACTCTTGGAAGACGCCAAACAAATTAATTCCCTTACCCCATATGGGCTGACAACTCGAGAGGCCCCTTTTCCTTTGCTTCTCCCAACACAGCCATACCTTAAATCATTTTCTGGATCCCCTCTCGCAGGAATTATGCTGCAACCCTTTCCTGGCATAGATTCCCATAGCAGAATTTACAATTTCTTCTGCACATACACATGTACATCACCTAAAGCATGTGAATCTTCTCAGAAGACCAGTAGTGGAAGCCAGTGAATTCACAGAAGGTTTCACAGACCACACTAGTTTCTACAGATGTCCACATACATAAACACATCTACTATGTACATGTTAAATATTACCCCATGCATTTTATAGATAATACTAACTGTAATAACATAACCAAAATATGAATCCTCTCAACACACCAAATAAAAATATCTATATCAAGTAACTTTGTTAATAGTATTAGTAGGATGTATTAACATTTAATTGCATAATAGAAATTGGTATTTATGTTCTAGTCAGATGGTGAGCAGAAAGAAGCTCATATTACACGTTGAGTTTAACATGTAAATTCTAGCCCCATTCCCAGTCAAAGAATATTACCTAAATTATAAAGCATTAGAGAGTAAACTGTCTTTAGTGAAGTTCAATAATGAAGCTTTCTACATTTAAAGTTCAAAATCTCAGGTGAACATAACATGATTTCTCAGAAAGTTCTTAAGCCCCTAAAATTGCTATTTTATAAACAAGTTAATATTAGGTTGTCATGTTTACAATGCCTGTAGAACATTCAAAGAACATTACAGATGAAAAATCAGAATATTCTGGATGATAGTCAAATCCAGGGGGAGGAAGGGAAGAATGGGAAATAATAAGTTGTTTACTTTATGCTAGGCACAGAAAGTCCTTTATTCCTGAAATTATTTCAGCAGCCAACAAAAACACTCCCTAATAAAAAAAAAAAAATCACACAACACAGGCTATGTACACACTAACAGGGAAACAGTCAGTACTGAGGATACTGGGTTCTTATTATACATATTTCAGGGGGTAATTGCTTTAAACGAGCTCTAATACTTCAGACTGAATGCCCATTAATGACTAACAACTGTGCACCTGGAATAAGTTTTTCCAATTTAGTC